CAACACAAACCACTCTGTGATTCTTCCCTCAAAATAAACACACCAGATTGATTTGCTCAAAGGTGGTGTCATTTCCACTACAAAGGCAGTGATGGCTGCAGTGCCTGGGTCTCTGGGAGAACAAAGATGCTCAGCTAAGAAGGTCTCTTCCAAGGTCAGATACTCCTTTGTGGCTTATGATACAAGCAGAACCATAGACGCTACGCCTTGCTCTGCAGGAATGGACCTGAGCTTGGCACTTCCCTCATGCAGTGGAAGTAAGGGCTATTGGAAATCCTGCTGCCTTCCTCCTAGGTGTATTCATCATTTCACCTGGCCTCTAAAAAATACAGCAGCTTGTATGTAGGGAGAGAGCCCTATCAAAGCCACTTCCCTATGAAAGGAAGATCCATAACCATGCTTATGTCGGTGTGTGATGTTGCTCACTCAGACCCTACACCCTGCAGGATGTTATACAGAGCTCTGAGATGCAACTAATTTCCTCTTTCACTTCAGACCCAATTCAGCACTTGCCCCATGATCACAGAATCACAGAATCAGCCGGGTTGGAAAAGACCTTTAAGCTCATCCAGCCCAACCATTCCCAGCCCTGCCAAGGCCACCACTGACCCCTGGCACTGAGGCCTCGGCTCCACGGGCTGGGAACACTTGCAGGGACGGTGACTCCAGCCCTGCCCTGGGCAGCCTGTTCCAATGCCTGAGCACCCTCTGGGCAAGGAATTGTTCCTCAGCTCCAGCTAAACCTGCCCTGGGGCAGCTTGAGGCCGGTTCCTCTTGTCCCATCCCTTGTTCCTTGGGAGCAGAGACCAGCCCCCTCCTGGCTCCATCCTCCTGTCAGGCAGTTGCAGAGAGCGATCACGTCCCCCCTGAACCTTCTCCACACTAAACCCCCAGGTCCCTCAGCCCTTCCCCATCACACTTGTGCTCCAGGCCCTGCTCCAGCTCCGGTGCCCTTCTCTGGCCCCGCTCCAGCACCTCAATGTCTCTCTTGCAGTGAGGGGCCCAGAGCTGAACACAGGGTTCGAGGTGCAGCCTCACCAGTGGGGGTGGCTGCTTATTTCCTCTTTGGCAATGTTTGAGGAAGGGATTGCTGCACATGTATCTACAAGCACAGGTGAGTAATTACCTGCAGGGAGGTGTTAAACAAAGGCAGCGTGAGAACCTGGACAGATAAAGCAGCAAAGCTCCTCGAGGTTGGTGCTAATCCTGGGAATATGAGCTGTGAGCCTCTTTTTACCAGAACCCAACGCAGTGTTTGTTCTCCATGGCATACTCTGATGCTTGTGTTACTTCCCTTTTCTGCAGGCAGTTTCCAGGATGTGGGAACATAGTGACATTCTCCCAGTTCCTATTTATTGCAGTGGAAGGCTTCATCTTCGAAACCAACTTTGGGAGGAAGAAGCCAGCCATACCATTAAGGTATATTCAATCTGAATGCTTTTGCTAGCACAAGTTGTCTAGTTACCTGTTATCTCCAGAAGTGTTTAATAAAACAGCTTATCAATTTATCCTGTCTAAATCCCATCCATTCTGCAGCATTTGTGAAGCCACATTGAGAACCTGTCATGCTGCTAAAAGATTAGCTCCTCTTTTCATGAGAATTCTAATAGGAAATGGCCATCAGATACTTCCCAGTCCAAGCAACAGGGCAGTGCTTTGCACAGTGGAGAGTTGGCTGTGTTTGAAGAGCTTTGCTGTGTCTGTGGGGCTTGAGGCAGTGGGTGTGGGAGGGAGAGGTTTACTGGAAACACAAACTCACTTCTGCATTTCTCCATCAGGGCTGATCTTGTCCTGGCAATGGCCTGGCATGTTCCTGCTCTCCTCCGTGGCACTCAGTGGCTGAAGTGAAGTGAGGAGGTTTAGTGGGGCTCCTTAGCCGACTGCCTATGGCAAAACAGAGCACTCAGCTGAGTGCTTGGGACAGAGATCCTCATGATAGGAGGCTGAGGGCAAGTTTCGTGCCATTCATGGCTGTTTCACAGCGAGGAACTTCAGTCTGTGGCAGTGTAGAAACCATGCAGGTGAATGTTTCTTCTTCAGGGTAGCAATGCCTGCTGGCAGACACTGAATCCCCTCAAAACAAGCCTTGTCTTATGCCACTGTCCTTAGAAAAGAGGGGTCTGGAGCAAGTCCATGCTAAAAGATCTCATCTGGAGTATCCTCAGTTCGCCTTTGCTTCTGGAGTTAGCACAGTTTGAGTCAGTGCAGGTCAGGTTGCTTCCTGTCCTAAGGACTTCCCTGCTACATCCAAAGGGGACTGATCTCCTTGTCACAGCCCCAAGAGTAAGGGATGGGCTCTAGCTCAGCTCCAGCCCTTTCCTTGCAACCCATCATCTGTTCCCAAGGTGACTCCCAGCATCCCAGAGAGGTACATGCACAGCTATCAGCTGGTTTCTGTTGTTCCTGTGTTTCAGGTACTATTTCACCATGGTGGCCATGTTCTTCACTGTCAGTGTGGTGAATAACTATGCCCTGAACTTAAATATCGCCATGCCACTGCACATGATCTTCAGATCAGTGAGTATTTCATCCTTTTCCTCCTCATGTGACATCCCTTCCTGTTATCTCTGCAAGCACTGTCCCTGCATGTGTTCTGCCACCCTCTCTTTCTCTGAGGGCACCAACCCCCTGTGCAAATAGTAAACTCTATGTAACTTGTGGGGAGAGCAACTATGCTCTGAAGGCTGAGATCCAGTTCTCACTTTTCACAGTGTTGATCATTGTATTTCAACCTAATGGATACACAAGGAAACAGGCTCAACCAGGCTGTGTATTTCCAAAGGTGATGGGGAAGTAAGTGACAAAACCAAGCTCGGACTCTGGCTGTCAGCTCTGGATGAACTGAACTGCTGGCCAAAGGGATCCAGCTTTCCCTTCCACCACACAGCTACACCACGGTCCATGTCCTAGTGTAGGTGTCTTGGTTAAACACCCAAGGTCAGAGAGCGTGGATTTGACCTGCAGTTTTACTGCAAAAGTCTTTGCTTTGGAAAATGCTATTAAAATGCATCTTTACTTAAGTGTAGGTGAGCACCAGGCTACAATATCTCTTAAAACCAAAGAAGATGAAGTCCCAGCTATTGAGAATAACACAATCTGCTGGGCAGATCTGCTGTTCTCCCACCACACACCGTGGAGCTGAGATACTCAAAGTCAGGAGAGGTAAAAAAGAAGAAAACCAGACAACATTCAGAGACCTGACCTGCATTAACCGTGAGGGATGGTTCTTGTATTGCAGCCCTGCAGTCAATCTGTGGAGCTATACTCCTGGTCTCCATTAAAACCACAGCCATTTGGACACGTTCGGTCTGTAGCACACACTGAGTGTCATGAGGGAGGCAAAAAAGGGGGAGGCCCACTGGCCAGAAGATCCTAGCAGCCTGTTTGCCCCAGCATCCTTGTTCCCAAGCCATCCCACTCAACTTCTCCCCTCCTCCTAGATGACGTGGACTCATAGAATCATTTAGGTTAGAAAAGACCTCTAGGATCACTGAGTCCTACCATTCCCCAGCACTGCCAAGGCCACCACTGACCCATATCACTAAGCACCACATCAACATGTCTTTTAAGTCCCTCCAAGGATGGTGACTCCTTCACTGCCCTGGGCAGCCTGTTCCAGTGCATAACAATCCTTTTGGTGAAGAGATCTTTCCTAATCTCCAACCTAAACCTCCCCTGGCACAACTTGAAGTTGTCTCCTCTTGTCCCCACTCTGCCACTCCTGTTCTGGCATGTCTGTTGGCATTTTGGCATTAGTTGTATTGAGTTTGCAGTGTCTCTCTGCATCCCAGTCCAAGGAATTTTGTCATGCTGACCTTCTGTTTTGTTTTTCTCCTCTCTCTCTTCCTCCCCAGGGTTCTCTCATAGCAAGCATGGCTCTAGGTATCATCATTTTGAAGAAAAGGTAAATCAAAGCCTCTTCTTTCTTACATCACCAAGGAATGCTCTGCCTCTGGCTTAATCCTAGGTTCTGCTTAGTGCCTTCCCCTTTCCTGTTGTTGTTTTACTGCTGGGGAAACTGGGACATAAAGATATGCCTGGACTAGAGGCTTGAATAGTTCCCTCATGCAATCCCACCACCCCTCTCTCCTCCATTTAAGGCAAGCATGGACTGAGGAGAGATTTAACACATCACTGTAGCCTTTTGTGTTAGCTCCTTTCTTTCTCTTGCTTCTGTGAGGCCAGTACTGCTCCTTATGGATGGCTGTACTGCCCTGACTGGGATGGAGTTCGCTTTCTTCATGGCAGCCCATATGGTGTTTGGGATTTGTGGCTAAAACAGTGTTGGTAGCACACTGATGTTTGGGCTGTTGCTGAACAGTGCTTACACAGTGTCAAGGCTCTGTTTTTCCCACTCTGCATCCCTAGCAAATAGGCTGGGGGTGGACAAGAAGTTGAGAGGGGACACTGGGACAGCAGACCCAAATGGCCAAAGGGATATTCCATGCCACATAATGTGTGCTGCAGTAGAAACCAGGGTAGAGGAAGGAGAGGGTTGGGGGGAATTGGCTTCAAGATGGCCATGCTTACGGGAGGTGGTGAGTGATTCTACATGTTTTGGGGGCTTTATTTTCCTCCCTCACCTATTAAACTCTCTAGCTCAAGCCACAAGTTGGGGGAATGAGTAAGTGCTGCGTAGGTCCTTGGCTGCTGTTGGGGTCAGCCCACTGCAGTGGGCAAAGATGTCAGGACAGGAGGGTCCTCCCAGTGGTTTAGGGTCTGGCTCTGGACCAGTATGGGCACATCCCCTGCCACTCCATCACTATGCAGAGATCCAAGAGGGATCTTCTGCCACAGGCAAGGACATCTTGGTCCAAGTGCTCCTTTTTTGTTGCAGTTGGAGTGAGTTGACCTTCCCTTTTCCCTCCAGTGTTAGGTAATGGGTATGTGCCCATTACTCCATGTTCACACCAGTATGGAGCTAAAAGCAATGCAAGGGAGCAGTAGATGAACAACATGAGGCTGGGCTGGGTCCCTGACATGTCTCTTCTCCCCCTGTGCAGATACAGCATATCTAAATACACATCCATAGCCCTGGTGTCTGTGGGGATCTTCACCTGCACTTTCATGTCTGCCAAGCAAGTGGTAAGGATTGGAAAGGGCCTGAGGGCACAGCTGTGAACCTTATTGACAGGAGGAGCTGCTGTCAGCACCTTCATCAGTAATTCCCTTTGTTTGACTGTTAATGGAGAGATAAAATGTGTCCTGGCTCTAAATCTGCTTCCAAAAAGCTTTTGCTCCTGGTTTCATTTTCATCTGGTTGGAGAGAAGGGATGCACACACATGTGTGTGGTTTAGCTTAATTACAGATGCCTTTTAACCTGTTCAGGTTGCTTTTTGCTGACATTAAACCATTATTTATAACACTTAGAAGCTGTTTTACTGTGATGTGTTGCAGTAGGAGCAGTGAATCTTAAACAAAACTCATCCATCTTAAGCCTTTGCTCTTTTTATCCCAGAAGAGATTGCCAGCTTTCCAGCTAGATTATTCCAGACCTGTTCTCATCCAATGTGACTTTCTGTGACCCTTGAAATAAAGTGCATGTATTTGGCAACAGGAGGGAATGAAGAAAATCCCTGTGTAACACCACTTTGGGCTGTTTCTGGGTCAGCACCTACAGCCTGATCTTGTCAACGGAAGACAGGAAAATGGCATAAAGTGGTGGTCAAGTGAAAATTGGTTGCACTTCATCCAGCTCTGAGAGACTGGGAATGAACCAGGGCTGTCAAAGCTCCCAGTTCCCCATTATTGAACAGCTTTTTACATCCTCAGAAGGTCTGAGGAAGGTCTGTGCTGTGCAGCTTTGCTCTCTATTAATCCATGTGCAGTCATGGAGTTGTGGTGTAGTACAGACAGTTGTAGCAAAGGTGAGTTAATCTAATTTGCCCTAATGTACAGTGAAAAGGAGTTGAGCCAAGTCGTGCTACCTGGAGGTTTACCCTCAGCTACCAGTGTCTACAGGCCTGGTTTCCTCAGTGTCTTTACTGCAAGCCCCCTGACTGGGGCTTGGCCAAAGCCCTTGTTCGTTCCTGCACACTCATCTCTGAGATGGGGATAGAGGAGCTGATGGGCTGTCTGAGAGTGTTCTAAGTGGCACTGATCAGTTTTGTGGTTGAAGGGTTCAGTCTTTTGCCAAGCCAGGGCATTCACTTCAGAAAAGCTACTTTCTTGGTCAGACATTTCAACTGTTTTGCTGGAATCTGGTGCATTCCCTGAGCAGAATGGAAAGCAGAGTGTGCTGTAGTTGCTACCACCTCTGCTCAGAGAATGTGAGAGCTTGGGTTTGCTTGGAACACAACACACAAACCAAGAATGAGGTACAGGCAGGTTTGAATGAGCTGCAGGGACGTGGTAGCTCATGGTGACTGTGTTGTGTCTCCCTCCACCAGGCATCTGACTCCAGCTTAAATGAAGAGGATGGACTCCAGGTTTTCTTGTGGTGGCTGCTGGGTGAGTGTCACATCTCCAGCTGACCTTGCTGGGTCAAGACTCAGCTCTCTGATGTCCTTGGCCACGTGGGTTGTGTGAAGCAGAAGGTGGTGGGAGTCCCCATGCTGTGTTTAAGTTGTGCTGAGCATGTAGTGGAGGCTGATTTACAAAGAAATAGGTTTTGTGGCACTCATTAGCAGCTAGTGGCAGAATGAGACTGCAGTCTTGCATGGTTGCAGATACCTTCTTGAATTCTCATTGCAGAAGCAGCCCTACCTGATGCACCTGGTAATATGAGGTACACTGCAGAGAGGAAGAGGGGCTGGTTCAAGTGTTCATTCAGCACAGTGCTTGAGGAGGTGATCCTGCCCCTCTGCTCTGCTCTCATGAGACCCCACTCGCAGCACTGGGTGCAGTTCTGGGGTCCTCAGCATCAGCAGGACATGGAGCTGTTGGAGCAAGTCCAGAGGAGGCCACGAGGATGAGCAGGGGCTGGAGCAGCTCCTGTAGAGAGCCAGGCTGAGAACATTGGGGCTGCTCAGCCTGGAGAAGAGAAGCTGCTGGAGACCTCAGAGCAGCTTCCAGTGTGTGAAGGGGGCTACAAGGATGCTGGAGAGGGACCTTCATCAGGGACTGGAGTGATAGGCCCAGGGGTGATGGGTTCAAAGTGAAACAGGGGAAGTTCAGGTTGGAGATAAGGAAGAGGCTCTTCCCTATGAGGGTGGTGAGGTGCTGGACACCTGTGTCCCCAAGGCCATTATCAGTCTTCTGATCAAGTCTGGACTGACTGAAAGCCAACTTGTGGGAGTCTTCAGACAGGTTGACTTGAGCTATGCCATGCTAGAGCAGTGTTGCAAGGCTGTGCTTCAATTCCAGGTATTGCTGCTCTCACCTTCGCCCTCCTCATGTCTGCCAGGATGGGGATTTTCCAGGAGACCCTGTACAAGCAGTTTGGGAAGCACTCCAAAGAGGCCCTTTTTTATAATGTGAGTCACCACATCCTTCCTTTTGCTTTTACTGGGCAGAAAGAACTGCTGAGAGAGTTCCTTCCCATGCCATATGCAGCACAAATCCAAAGGATGACACACTGCAAAGCTGGTGCAGGAAGTGTGTGCTCTCATCCAGATGTGTGAGGCTGCTTTCCCAGGATGAGAAGTGGGATGGGCTCACATAACCTGTTAACATCATGTCTTTACTCTTCTCTCCAGCATGCGTTACCACTCCCAGGCTTTCTGCTCCTTGCCCCCAACATCTACCACCATGCAGTCCTCTTCAGCCAGTCCGGTAAGTGCTGCACAGATGGATCCTTGCTCTCACACCCTTCTGTCCTCTGGAAAATGCCATAGGAAGCTTTCAGTCCAGCATATGCACGTCAGACTGTTGTCTTGGGATGTTCAAGTGAAATTCAATAGGCTTTCCAGCACCAAAAAGCTTCTATATCCCTCAACCCTGTCATTAGTTTGAGGGAGGAAATCCTGCCCCTCTGCTGCGCTCTGGGGAGACCCCCCCTGCAGCCCTGATCCAGCTCTGGGGAACAGCACAAGAGGGACGTGGAGCTGCTGGAGCGAGGCCAGAGGAGGCCCCGGAGCTGCTGCGAGGGCTGGAGGAGCCCCCGGATGGAGCCAGGCTGAGAGAGCTGGGCTGGGGCAGCTGGAGAAGAGAAGGCTCCTGAAGGGGACACCTTAGAGCAGCTCCAGTGCCTAAAGGGGCTCCAGGAGACCTGGAGAGGGGCTTTGGACAAGGGATGTAGGGACAGGCCAAGGGGAATGGCTTGAACCTGCCAGAGGGGAGATTGAGATGAGCTCTTGGGCAGAAGCTGTTTCCTGTGGGGGTTCAGAAATGGGAATAGCAGGACCCAGGTGTAAAGAAAGACCCGTTGGCTCTTCTTTTGCTGATGCTACACTGGCTTTTCTGTGTTAGCACTCTCAGAGCCAGTTGATTCGTCCAGTTTTAGCAGTAGGACAGCCCTGAAGAAGCAAATCAAAGCTTATCTGCGAACTCTTGTATTTATCATATACCAAAGTAGGAATAAGATAACTCTCCAAAATCAAACTCATGCCCACACCTCATCCTGCCCAATGCAGTAACATACTCCTGAAGCTGCACTGTGTCTGTATCATGGTCAGTCCTGGACGGGAGACACCTCTCTGTGCATCAAGTGACCTTGCTCCATCCTTTCTCCCTGCAGAGCCGTTCCAGGTCCCAGTGATCGGGCTGACCCTGCCAATCATGTGGTTCTACCTCCTCATGAACGTCATCACTCAGTATCCTTTGAAAGCTCAGCTTGAGATGGAGGCTTGGGAGAGGAGGAATGGGGTGGGGGTGCCAAGTCCTTGGAGTCTTCCCTGCGTTTGGGAGCTGATGCTTGTGTAACTTGGATAATAGAGAGTGGAATTTAACCTGGGGCTTATAGTTCTTTCCAGGGTAGCTGAAATCTGCCTCCAGCTCCTCAGGGACAGGCTGATGGGGATAAACTCCTGCAGTTTTGCCAGCCAGCTCTAGGCAGAAGGGACAGATCAGGAGCTGTCTGTAATATATCAGTGTAGAGTCTTCCAGGCACAGAGAAGTGGTCTGAAAGTCTGATGGAGCTGAGATGCCCTCAAGAAAGGGACCCTTCAATCTGTAGCTCTCTTACCATTTTCTTCTCACTGTTCAGAGAACATGAGTTGCTGCTCACGCTCCTCCATGAAACCCCCTTGTTTAATCTGCCTTTCCCATGCCCCCTCCTGGGGAAAAGGGACTTCTGCTGTTGGATTTAGATGGGATATTAGGCAGTTCTTCCCTGGGAGGGTGCTGAGGCGCTGGCACAGGGTGCCCAGAGAAGCTGTGGCTGCCCCATCCCTGGCAGTGTTCAAGGCCAGGTTGGACACAGGGGCTTGGAGCAACCTGCTCTAGTGGAAGGTGTCCCTGCCCGGGGCAGGGGTTGGAGCTGGGTGAGCTTTAAGGTACCTTCAAGCCCAAACCATTCCATGAAGTCTGGGCAACCCTGTGTGCCATCGACTTTCACCAACACACAGCCCCAGCTGGGTAGTTTTGCTGCCCCAGAGCAGGTTGAGGGGGGATTTGGGATGTCTTTGGGGTTTGCACTGTAGCTGTTCACAGCTGTAGAAACACCGATGTGAGGAGAAGGGTATCTTATTCCCTCTGTCACCAGACTGGGGCTGTCCATTGCCCAGTCCTCATTCCCAGAGGCCTTCCAGGGTGTCCTCCCTCTTCATCCCTGATGTCCCCTTACCTCACCTATCCAGATACGTCTGCATCCGCGGCGTGTTCATCCTCACCACGGAGTGCACGTCCCTCACGGTCACGCTGGTGGTGACCCTCCGCAAGTTCGTCAGCCTCATCTTCTCCATCCTCTACTTCCACAACCCCTTCACAGCCTGGCACTGGCTGGGCACTGCCTTTGTCTTCGTGGGGACTCTCATGTACACCGAGGTGTGGAACAGCCTCGGGCCCTTCCTGGCTCGCTGGAGGAAGAGGCCAAAGGAGGAGTAACAGCCTGGACCTCTCTGCAGGGACCTTTTTACTGTTTTATAGAGCAGAGCAGCAGGGAATGCCCCAGAAGGGGTTGTTTTATAACACAGGGGAGGTGTTGGCTGTGCCAAGCTCCTGGGAAACGTGGAGCCTCCACTGGGAACCTACTGAAAAGGATCATGGCGAGACAATGCGGTTATTTTTGAAACCCCTTTTGCTTCCAACTTCTCCCCCTATTTTTGTTTTCCCATTTGAAGACTCCTTTTAAAGTAGTGGAAAAGCTGACCCAGTTCTCTCTTAGGAGCCCAGCCTTGTCATGATGCTGTTGTCCACTCCTCCAGCTTTGATGAGCTGGACCCTGAGCCTCTTTGGTGCCATCCTTTAACGTCCAGGGGAACTGCTGTTTGTGCAGCACGTTGTTGGTTACACTGGAAGTTCCAGGCATGGCTGTTAACCTGAGTCCCTATTGCCTGATCCTACTACCCCTGTGCTCTGCTCCTGTAGAGCCTTCCAGTCTGCCCAGTAGGTCCTTCACTGGGGAGTGGCTCAGGGGGCTGATTCCCAAGCCAGCGAGCTCCCATCACTAGCAGCAGGGTCTAGTTGAGAGCCTGAGGAAACCCAAAGTGGACAGAAGGTGCCACTGTGTCACCTTCTCATCCTTCTCATGGAGACAGTGAAGTGCTCTTGAGGCTTCACTGAATCAGAACAGTTTGGGTTGAAGGGACCTTCAAAGCTCATCTAGTCCAACCCCCTGCAATGAGCAGGGACACCTTCAACTAGATCAGAGTCCTCAGGTGTTGCCATGATACTTCACCAGCCAGAGGGTGTCCTGGGTTCTTCCTGCCTTGGTTTAAGTCCTCAGTACAGGTCAGTTTCCAGATGCTTTCTACTTTTCTTCCCCTCATTACAATCATATGCAGTGGTTTTTGTTACTCAGCCTGTGCTAAGCCCCCAGTGTCCCCTTGATCCCCCCCAGATCCAGCCCCACCTCAGGGTTCAAATGATGCCAAGGAACTTAAGGGCCAGTACAACTGAGCTTATTTCTGCTGCTGGGGGTGGTTTTACTGTCCCTTCATCCTGTTCTCCTCTTGTCTTCTCCCACCCCTTGGGCATCAGCTTGTGGCATTTCTGTACATCATAGCAGCACCCAACTGGTGCAGGATTGGTGTCTCCAAGAGCTTTGGGTATTTGTCCCCATAAGCGCAGGCAACACGTGTGGCCAGCAAGGTGAGGAGCAGCAGCCACAGCTCTTCTGGGACCTGCTCAGTGCTGAGCAGAGCAAGTTATGTCAGCTTTGGAGCATGAGGAGCACTGTTCTGTGCTACCTCAGTTGTCCTGGAGCACCTTGTTGCCATCATCATGATATTGTCCCTCTGCTGTGATAGTTAAAGCATTAGTTAAAGCATCTGGAATGTCAACCTGATTCAGATCCAGCTTGGCCAAGTAAGGACTGTTACTCCTCCACCCAGCATCCCAATAGCTTCCAATGTGATTCCAGCCCATTTCCGACTGTTAGAGCTATACCCAGCCCATCCTGAGCAATGGCCACCTTTCCAAAACCTCCGCCCTGATGGCTTTGTTGCTGTTTTTTATCTGTATCAGCTCTTATGGACATGCTTCTTCCCAGCTTCTTGTCCACCATGGTCTAACCATTGGTGGGGGTCACTGGGAGAAAAGGGGAAGCCTTGATGCAGTGCAAGTGCTGAAGCACTGGTGTGTTCTCAGGGTGGTTTTAGCCACCAACCCAAAGCCCAGCAGTGTATGGAAATGGTTAACTCCATCCCAACAGTGACATGATGCTGATGGGACCCACAGCTCCTTCCTGAGAGCCTGTGAAGAGTTTGCTCTTCTGGATTGATTTTTCCTGAGCCTGGAAAACCTCTTGTCTCTTGAGCATCAGACATGGGATGTTTCCAAGGATTCTGTAGATGGGGACACTGTTTCCCAGCACCTCCTGTGGGTCAGCTCTTCCTTCCAGCTCCTTGCAGAAGCTCCAGGAGGAGGATCTTGCTTCTCAAGGCTGTTAACACAGAGCTTCAGCTGCAATGGGGAGGGAGGGGAAGGCACCACAAATTCAGCATCAGGGACTGAGTAACTGGTGAGGATTCAGCAGAGCAATAGCTGAGCAGTGCCTGAGTGAGTGTAACCTGTACATAGACACTGGCTGGGTCACTCTGTACCAAGGAAATCACATCTTGTCTCCAATTCCTGTCCTGCTGGTAGGCTTGGGGCTGTTTGGGTTTTCCATTTGTTTAACCATGTGCTGTCCTTGGTCTTCTCTCAAACCAAGTGTCAACAATGGGTTGAGATTTGTTCCTGTCAGGGGTATTTTTATGTGATTTGTGTCTTTCTGTGTATTTATAACTATTACCATGTCATAGAAGATGCAGTGATTCTCTTACTGCTGCAGGAGAGCATTGAGCTTGCCCAGATGGGAGACAAAGGTCCATGAAGAAGGAGCCCCATTAGCCAAAAGTAGTATTTAAATCCAGGTCTTTCACCCCCCAAAAATGGGGCTACTGATGTGCTTGATTTTAATGTTCTAGAGATAATAGCACAGATTTTTTAGCAGAGGCTGGAAAAGTGGCTGAGCCAAAAAGCTTTTTGATCAGTGTCAAGCTTTTGGGTTGGTTGGTTGGGTTTAGGATGGTGTTTTTGTTGGGTTTTTAAAATAGGAAATAAATCTGTATCCTCTTCAAAGTATGTTGGGTTTGTTCCTCCTTCCATCCTGTGCTACTGGAATCAGCTGCTGGTGACTGGAAAACACATGGAGCTCCAAAGTCAACACACAACTTCTCCTGCTCTTATATGAGAGGAGGTAGGAAAGACTGAGCCTGGCTGAGGTTTGAGGGGAAGACCCATCCCTCCTGCACTGAAACACCTCCAGAGTGCCCTTGAGCACCAGCACCCCCAGTCCTCACCCCCCACACTGGCTGTGTAGCTCCTCACGTGTGTCTTCCAGGGCTTGGTGATCCTACCTAGAATGTGTGAGCCCATCTGTGATCCTTCAGCAAAATGTGACCACATAGATGCTGCCACGAGGTGAGAGGCTGCTTTCCCCAAATCTTTTCTCCTCATTCCCTGGGCTTTGCTTTTCCCTCTCTGCAGCACCAAGCCAGGACCATCCATCTCCTCCATTCCTTTGTTGTGGATTAAGTTTAGTCAACTGAATTCCTTTAACTGAATTCCTTTAGTTTTCCCTGGCTTATGTAGCCCTTCATGTAGACAGCTGAAGTTGCTGGAGCCTTCATCTGAGACAACTGGTGCTTAGTTGTGTACATAAAAGCCTCGAGACCAGCGCAAATGGGAAGATGAAGTTCCATGATACCAAACCCTCGCAGCAGCTCCGCGGCCTCCTCTGGCCTCGCTCCAGCAGCTCCACGTCCCTCTTGTGCTGTTCCCCAGAGCTGGATCAGGGCTGCAGGGGGGCTCTCCCCAGGGCACAGCAGAGGGGCAGGATCCCCTCCCTGAGCTGCTGCTCACGCTCTGGGGTGCACCCAGCATACGGGGGGGTTCTGGGCTCAAGCACATATTGAGGCTGGGTCTCAGAGGGGTATTGAGATGGGAGTCTCTAGAGAACATCTCTTCTCTGGAAGGATCCTCAGCACTGGGACTTTTCACTGTGGAGCCGCCTTGCCTCTGTGATGGATATTGATTTCAGAGCCTTGGGCGACATAGTTTAGTGTGTGGTGTCCCTGCTCATGGCAGGGGGGTTGGAACTAGATGATCTAAAGGTCCTTTCCAACCCAAACTATTCTATGATTCTGTGATTTACACCTTCGTGCTTCTACTTGCTTTGAGGTACGAGCAGGGA